AATTGACAACAGAAATAACAGAGATGAGATTCAAACACCAGGACATTCTGAAGAAACATCTGGATGAAATCAAACAGATACAGTAGGTTATTGAACAAGCATGGCTCAATCTGAAAAAAAGTGGAAGAATCAAATGAAATATATATCTACAACTATGTATATAGAAATTATACCTCAAAAAACAAAGAATTCAGCATGCAAACTCCCTCCAAAAGTTCAAGTATCACTGCCAATATTTAGCCCAAAGACAATAGATACTGAACAGCTGAAGAAGTTGTTTGGATCTTTGACACCATTATCCACCAAAACAAAAGAAAAAGGCTATACACAATAAAAAAGAAGTACCCAGTACACAAACTAGAAAATTTCTGGAAGAACCAGAACTTATCATCTTCTGGAAGAACCAGAACTTATCATCTCTATAAATACTGGATATGAAGAACTCTGCAGTGTTACCTGTTTTAGTGAAGAAGAAATCTGGATAAGGGCACACAGAATCAATGAGATAAAATGCTTCAATATTCAAAGCTCACTTACCAATTAAGACAATCAAAACAAAATCCCTGAAATGGCCAGTTAATATAGCAGTGACAGGTGATGGGAATCTATTGTACTGTGACTTGGAAACAATTTTAGACTGTGAATAAAGTGAAGAATGAAAAGACACAGATGATGATCATACTACAGGACTGGAGACCTGACAAACCCTGTGTCACTTCCTCTGGTGATCTCTTGGTTAATATGTACAGTGTTACTTGTAGTTATCTCTTGCTTTCTATGTTCAGTAAAACACAGTCCAGAGTTGTGCGTTATTCAGGCTCCTTACAGAAACAAACAATTCAGTTTAATGAGGAGGGTAATTAACCTCTGTATTCAGGAAATTACAAAATTAAATACATCTGCAGTGAGAACAAAAACCTGGATATCTGTGTGGCTGAATTTGAAGCTGGTGCTGTAGTTGTGGTCAATCAGGCTGGAAAACTCCGATTTAAATACACTGGCCATCCTTCTACCTCAAAGAACAAACCATATGAACCCTGTGGCATCACAACAGACAGATCCTGACAGCAGACTGTAATAACCACTGTATCCACATCTTAGACCAGGACGGACAGTTCCTGTGTTATATAGATAACTCTGATCTGAAGGATCCATATGGTTTATGTGTAGACAAAAGTGACAATCTGTTTGTGGCTGAGTACAAAGGAAATTTTCAAAAGATAAATTTTTTTTCAGAATCTGTAATGTGACACCCAGTGAAAAAAATGATAGCCATAGTCAGGTATTGTGACTGAAAACCATGTGATATATTGCAATTATCTTACTTTGAATATTGCATTATATTGCGATATATTGTAGATTACTTACCATTAATACTGTATACAGGGTTATTTTCGCCCCATCTTATTTTCGCCCTTTCACACTTGCAAACAATTTTGCCCCATTTTAAATTCGCCCAATCCTAGTTTTGTTTAAGAAATTATACTGTATTCTTTGAATTCGCCCTGTTTTAAATTTGCCCAAATGAGGGTAGAGCGAAAGGGGCGAAAATAAAACGGGGGCGAAAATTTCCCTGTATATAGTAAATTTAAGCAGAAAGGTTGAAATGCTGTCAAGTTCAAAGACTATTTTACAAGAGGCCCACGGGCCTTATAGGTCACCTGAGTATCATGTAACAACTTTCCAGCGATTGTATTTGGTTCATGTTTTAATCCAAAAGCCATAAAATTCACAAATTTTGAAGGAGGCACCATTGCTTATCAAAGGACAGATTTCAAAGCATTAATTTATTTTTAGTCAAAGTACCCCCCTGGTACCCCTGACCCAGTGGCCCTGAAATTATCTATTTTGAAAGAGGTCCCTTTCTTCATTATAAGGCCAGCATTTTTTTTATGTTCAGGTTTAGTTATGAACATGAGAATAAAATTTTTTTTAAATATGTGTTAGGAAAATGTGTAGACATTGTTCTAAAATTTACTTGATGCCTTAAATTATAATTCCTATCATAAAACAGACAGGGAGAATTGGGGAGTAGGGTGAACATTTTTTCAATTAAGTGTAAAATAATTTTTCTGGCTGATACAAATGATACTACATGCCTGTATATATTTGTATATTCTTGCCTTTTAATAGTTGAATTTTTTTTTTATTTCTTCAGGTTATTGTTTATTTCTTCCTCAAATGGACTTAACTTCTCCCATAGTTTTATTCATTACATCTGATGCATAAGCAACCCTTTTCTGAAGAATGATGCTTAGACTGTAAGCTATAACAGAGTCCTAAACAATGTCGCTGGCAATATACAATAGCTACCACGGGCAGTTTAAAACCTGGGGGAGGAAAATAATTTACAGACAGATACTTTTGAAACGAATAAATAATTATCTCACCAGCATGTCATTGTGCAACAAAGTCGTCAGCATTTTATTTGTCCTTTGAACGTGTGAAACGTTTTGAATGGCACTCGTATCGAAGAATTTTACACTAAACCAAGCTATCTTGAAGTTCTCAGACCATCTAGCTTTTTTTACCCGCCGTTTCATCTTAAAACCGGAAGTGCGACTTCGTAAATTTGAAATCTCGATCCTGACTCAAATTAGACATCAGAAAGAAAACCAGAAGTCTCTGTTGAGACTGAAGCTCTACTGGTTCGTACTTATAGCAAAGGAAGAGAAAAGTACTTAAGCAATAAATAGAATAATGATCCTTGATTAAGTCTCTTAATGTTCTTAGTGTAGTCTACTTGCATGTCACATTATATTATAATCACACTAAAACTGTATTTTGAGTAGCATTTGAGAGTATTTAACAGAAATTTCTATTTCCCGTGGCAACACCGTTCATCGAAATCAAAAACTGACACACAGAATTATGTATCTTAGTGTAGTCTACTTGTGTGCCAATTGAAATCAGACAAAAACTGTAGGAGGAGTAGCATTTTGAAAGAATTTCACAGAAATTTCTATTTTTAGTAACAACGTCAACACCGTTCATCGAAATCTAAAACCTATATACAGAATTATGTATCTTAGTGTAGTCTACTTGTGTGCCAAGTTATATTGAAATCAGACCAAAACTGTAGGAGGAGTAGCATTTTGAAAGAATTTCACAGAAATTTCTATTTTTAGTAACAACGTCAACACCGTTCATCGAAATCAAAAACCGATATACAGAATTATGTATCTTAGTGTAGTCTACTTGTTTGCCAAGTAATATTGAAATCAGACCAAAACTGTAGGAGGAGTAGCATTTTGAAAAATTGTTTACAGACGGACAGACAGCTAGACGGACGGACGACGGACGCATTACTATCGCATAAGCTCTTCTGGTCTCTGACCAGTAGAGCTAAAAATTGTTTTATTTTTTTCTGAAAATTCAAAACCTTGAGTGGAGGGTTTGTAAAACTGAAAATAAAATAAATCCTGGCCTTAAATATGTAATTAGATCATAAGTATATTAACCAGAAGCAAAGGATAAGATGTTCAAAGAATTCATGCATTTCACTATACAATCATTAGAGCCCCCCTTCCCCCCCTAAAACAAGAACCCCTGACCCTGGGCCATAAAATTCACAGTTTTGGTAGAGGCACTCTTGCTCATCATAACTATGCACTTAGTTTATTTAATACCCAGGAGCAGAGAAGAAGATTTTCAAAGAAATAATGCATTTTCACTACCTACTTATTTAGCCCCGCCCTAGCACTAGAACCCCTGACCCCAGGGCCATGAATTTCACAATTTTGGTAGAGGACTCATTGCTGATTACAATCATGCAAACAATTTGACTGCCTGATGTCCAGGAGTAAAGAAGAAGATTTTTAAAGATTGCATTAATTTTAGTGGTTTTGGCCCCACCCCCAGGCCCCAGGGGGGCAAGGATAATGAAATTCACAATTTTTGTTCCCCTTCACCCATAGATGCTTTGTGCCAAATTTGGTTGAAATTGGTTCAGTGGTTGCAGAGAAGAAGCTGAAAATGTTCAAATGTTAACGCATGACTGACGACGATGGACGAAAACAGATAGCAATAGGTCACCTGAGTTTACTCAGGTGACCTAAAAATATAAAACATTTTTTTTTTTAAAGTGGGGGGGGGGGGGGGGGGGGTATTGAAGTAGCATAAAATGTTAGTTTAAGATTAAAATAATACATACTATATAAAAATTTTATTGAGGCCACAGAATAAAATTAAAACCCATTTTTGTGTCGTTTGGTGTTATAGTCTAACCCAACCTAATTTGACATTATGACATACAATTTGGAACTGGCCCATATCTACTGTTTTTTAATACCCCCCACTTGAAAAGTGGGAGGCTATACTGTAATTGGTATGTCCGTCCATCAGGCTGTACATCCAGCTATCTGTACGTCCGTTCGTCTGTTACGCTTTTGGGTACCCATCTCTTATCCGCAACTCCTCTCATACCACTGAGTGAAATTTAATAAAACGTTCACAGAATCTTTATTACATATTGGCATTGTGCACCTCCTATTTTACTTTTTGATCAGACACATATTTTGGGTTTCCCGGCCACAGCAAAACATGGACTTTGCAATTATAACCATATGGGAGGCAGGGGGCATCATTTAGTGAGCTCATAGCTCACAGTACCTCTAGTAATATACATACTCCTGTTTTATATGAAGATGTTTAAAATGGCATAAACGTTATAAAACAAATTAAAGCAGCACTGCATCAAGTAAAAACATGCATGGATGCATGACCATTTCCTTGTAATATATGATGTTCGTGTATATTGAACTAAACATTTCATTGCGACGTCGACCATTTCGATTCCATGTGAGATTTTGAGAACCACAGTACACATGGCATACATCCTGTAGAAATTATTTTTTAAAAATATTTGTTGGTCTGTCTGTTCACACATTATCCTTGATAACAAAAATAATGTAACACAGTTTTTTGTATAGTGGATGTTTCATTCTAAGTATAGTAAAAGGTTGAAATGAACTGACAGGAGCATTGCAGTTCACTCATATTTGTCAAGTTTATTTTTGAAAATAAACTTACGACACAGATTCAGCGAACACCTCTCCTGTGATAGAATCATACAAGGATTGTGAGATGTCCATTAGCTTATCCACCTCACGCTTTGCTTCCTGTCCAATCTCTAAACACATGATGTCTATGACCTCCCAGAATAAAAATTTGGCAGTCTCCTTCACTTCCTGAAAAAATTATCAGAGTGAAACTTAATTCATGGCACATCTAAATGTAATAAACTTGAAGCTGAACAGTAATATTGAAATTGCCTCATACAAACTCTTTTACATACCCTGGGGCTTTATTGACCCTTCTTAGTACAGGGTCCTGTACCCTTTCAATTGGGAATTTTGAATTGAAAAAGTGGAAAAATTTGGAAATATTGAGGTCATTACATTATGTTAAAATGTTGAATAAAAAGTGACTTTGAAGATTTATTCTCTATTCACATCTTTATCATTAAAATCTCGAAATTCAAGTTTGTTTTAACATAATAAGCATTGTAAGGCCATAATAAAAATATTCCTAGATTCTCATCCCCGCCCGCCCCAATTTTATACCCCCCTCAGATAAACTCAGATGACCTATTGCTATCTGTTTTTGTCCGTCGTTGTGCGTCGTGCGTTAACATTTGAACATTTTCAGCTTTTTCTCTGCAACCACTGAACCAATTTCAACCAAATTTGGCACAAAGCATCTATAGGTGAAGGGGAACAAAAATTGTGAATTTCATGATCCCTGCCCCCCCTGGGGCCTGAGGGGTGGGGCCAAAACCACTAAAATTAATGCAATCTTTAAAAATCTTCTTCTTTACTCCTGAACATCAAGCAGTCAAACTGTTTGCATGATTGTAATTAGCAATGATTGTAATCAGCTTCTTCTCTGCTCCTGGGTATTAAATAAACTAAGTACATAGTTATGATGAGCAAGAGTGCCTCTACCAAAATTGTGAATTTTATGGCCCCAGGGTCAGGGGTTCTTGTTTTAGGGTGGGGCTCTAATGATTATAATTATAGTGAAATGCATGAATTCTTTGAACATCTTATCCTTTGCTCCTGGTTAATATACTAATGATCTAATTACATATTAAAGGCCAGGGTTTATTTTATTTTCAGTGTAACAAACCCTCCGCTCAAGGTTTTGAATTTTCAGAAAAAATATAAAAAAAAATCTTTCCGATGTCAAATTTGAGTCGAGATCGAGATTTCAAATTTATGAAATCGCACTTCCGGTTTTAAGATGAAACGGCGGGTAAATAAATCTAGATCTGAGAAGATAGCTTGGTTTAGTGTAAAATTCATCGATACGAGTGCCATTTTCACCCGTTCAAAGGACAAATAAAATGCTGACGACTTTGTTGCACAATGAAATGCTGGTGAGATAATTATGTATTCGTTTCAAAAGTATCTGTCTGTAAATTATTTTCCTCCCCCAGGTTTTAAACTGCCCGTGGTAGCTATTGCATATTGCCAGCGACATTGTTTAGGTCTCTGTTATAGCTTACAATCTGAGCATCATTCTTCAGAAAAGGGTTGCTTATGCATCAGATGTAATGAATAAAACTATGGGAGAAGTCAAGTCCATTTGAGGAAGAAATAAAAAAAAATTCAACTATTAAAAGGCAAGAATATACAAATATATACAGGCATGTAGTATCATTTGTATCAGCCAGAAAAATTATTTTACACTTTATTGAAAAGATGTTCACCCTACTCCCCAATACTCAGTCTGTTTTATGATAGGAATTATAATTTAAGGCATCAAGTAAATTTTAGAACAATGTCTACACATTCACCTAACACATATTAAAACAAGAGGCCCATGGGCCACATCGTTCACCTGAGAAGCTTTGACCATTCTGTTCTTTACCAGATTTCCTCCTTGTAATACATAATGAATCCCCACCCTACCCCACTGATCATAATTTAGACATTTTGAAATCTACATTACCCCAGGATCCTTCCATGTGCACATAAGTTTCAGCTTTTCTGGCCCAGTGGTTCTTGAGAAGAAGATTTTCAAAGATTTTTCCTATATATTTCTATGTAAAACTTTGATTCACCATTGTGGCCCCGCCCTATCCCAGGGGTTATGATTTGAACAATTTAGAATCTACACTACCCCAGGGTGCTTCCACATCAGTTTCAGCTTTTCTGGCCCAGTGGTTCTTGAGAAGAAAATTTTCAAAGATTTTTCCTATATATTTATATGTAAAACTTTGATTCACCATTGTGGCCCCGCCCTACCCCCGGGGGTTATGATTTGAACAATTTAGAATCTACACTACCCCAGGTTGCTTCCACATCAGTTTCAGCTTTTCTGGCCCAGTGGTTCTTGAGAAGAAGATTTTCAAAGATTTTTCCTATATATTTCTATGTAAAACTTTGATTCACCATTGTGGCCCCGCCCTTCCCCTGGGGGTCATGATTTTAACAATTTAGAATCTACACTATACCAGGATGCTTCCATATAAGTTTCAGCTTTTCTGGCCCAGTGGTTCTTGAGAAGAAGATTTTTTAATGACCCCACCCTATTTTTGTCTTTTCTTGATTATCTCCCCTTGTGAGGGAACTTGGCCCTTTATTTTAACAATTTAAATTCCCCTTTACCCAAGGATGCTTTGTACCAAGTTTGGTCAAAATTGGCCCAGTGGTTCTTGAGAAGAAGTCGAAAATGTGAAAAGTTTACAGACAGACAGACGGACGGACAGCTAGACGGACGGATGGACGATGGACAAAATGTGATCAGAAAAGCTCACTTGAGCCTTCGGCTCAGGTGAGCTAAAAATGAAGATATATTGAAAGACTTTTAAAGAATTGATTTTTAAAAATATACTTTGACCAACATCACAAAATTTATATAGCTGGCCCAAACTGGCAGATGATGAAATAAGCAATTAAATGTTCTACTTTCCTATTTGTAAGCATTTATTTATGTGTCCAGTGGTAAGGGGCCTATTAGAATAGCATAAAAAAGAATGTACAAATGTTAATAATTGATTTATCAAAATTTTTTTTTTTTACATTTCCTTCTCCTTCGGGACTTTTTTATTCTCATGTTCATAACTAAACCTAAACATAAAAAAATGCTGGCCTTATAATGAAGAAAGGGGTCTCTTTCAAAATAGATAATTTCAGGGCCGCTGGGTCAGGGGTACCAGGGGGGTACTTTGACTAAAAATAAATTAATGCTTTGAAATCTGCCCTTTGATAAGCAATGGTGCCTCCTTCAAAATTTGTGAATTTCAAATTTTTTTTTTTTACATTTCCTTCTCCTTTTGGACTTTTTTATTCTCATGTTCATAACTAAACCTAAACATAAAAAAATGCTGGCCTTATAATGAAGAAAGGGGTCTCTTTCAAAATAGATAATTTCAGGGCCGCTGGGTCAGGGGTACCAGGGGGGTACTTTGACTAAATTAAATTAATGCTTTGAAATATGCCCTTTGATAAGCAATGGTGCCTCCTTCAAAATTTGTGAATTTCATGGCTTTTGGATTAAAACAAGAACCAAATACAATCACTGGAAAGTTGTTACATGATACTCAGGTGACCTATAAGGCCCGTGGGCCTCTTGTTTTATTTCTGTTTTTCTTTGTCTTAATTCTGATCGGGATCGGTATTCATCTACCATTCTACTTTCTTTTTAAATCCTGCGAAAGTCGACATGATTTTGACAGCTAAAAAAGATAGTTATTCCTGTAATATGGTACATGCATATATATTTTAAACAAAGGTCATTGGTCAAAAAAGGATTGGTGATGATGTGAAGAAAGAGATAATTGAACGTTTACTACAGTGGGTCCCGTTTAAACGGATAGTCAGGTTGTCAGAGTAGTTTTATCCGTATAGCCGAATATTGGAATAGCCGATTGCAATATTTGCCGTACAAACGGCAGATCTTCAGTACATAAGTAACAATTTCAACATGGTTGTATTACGTACCTGTACTTTCGTTTTCGTTTGATGAATGTACCAAGTCAGGAAATGAATTATTTCAGGTTTTAATAACAAGTTCAATATGATTTTGTATGAATAATTTGTTTTTAATTGAAGTGTGAAACTTATTTTCATCTTTATTTAGCACCAGGTACCTTTTTACATTCACCCCATTCGTTGATGGCCTCCATTTTGGAAAACGGAAGTTGATTGAATACATGACTATATTACATAAACCATTTTTTTCCGGATTGCTGATTAATAAATTTAAAAAAAATGTTTATTGTTTCATCTTTATCTGTATTTGTATGTCATTTTCAAGCACATAATAGATATATACGTATATTTATATGGGGTGCATGTGATTTTATTGCAAATCTCGCCTGAAAGTATTACACTGCGGTTGAAATAGCGTTGCCTTGAGTGATGACACTGTTGGATTTGACAATTGAACAATTTGAATCACGGATTGCATTCTATAAAACAAGCGCTTTAATTGGTTGATATGGACCCGCCCACTCTCGTGCAGTATCCTTTGCCTTTGTAAGTTGGAAAGCGTCTTACGGCCTTGTGATGGTCGAAAACCGATGGTGACTTTTTGAACAAAAAAAATATAAAAACAAACAAAGACTAACTATGAAATCACTTTATAACATGTGATATATTCCTATCGCAGATTGTACATGTATATCGTTTGATGACAAACACTAATTTCATTTTATCCTACATGTAATTCTGCCGATTTTCTATTCACGGCATTTTCAATTTTCAGTGGTGCAAATTGAAAACGCGTTCGTGCGTAGAAAGCATATCCAGCTAATATCGGAGCACCCGTTGAAAAAATATAAATTCATGTGTGGTAAAACATCAGATTTAATTAAAAGTTTACTGTTTTGTTGTCACGAGTTTCAAAAATACCATGTTTCAAATGTGTGCATACCTATTTTAATTGTCGTCATGGCAATATTTAAACTTGCGATCTGGAATCTTAAAATTGCACTTAAAAGTGAACACATATCCAACTAAATGACCAAGTGCTACCATTTAATAGACAGTCTAATTCTGATAATTTAATTTAATACCCAAGCGAAGTGTCATACTCAAACTGAAAAGTTCAATAATTAAAATTTCACGCCGAACAAAATTGAACACAAGCCAATTATCAATGATCAAAATTAACACCCAAGCCGGTCATCACTATTGTTATCAAAATATATCGATCTACTGTGCCCACTGCTAACACAGGT